GCGCCGCCAACGAGCACGTCCCCATGAACGATGAAGGCTACTACCTGCCGTTCTGGCAGGTGACTGAGTTCTGGCAGAATGCGGGCATATGGATGCTGGTTGCCAGCTGCTGCTCTGTCTCCCGCCAGCACCTACTCCTTTGCACCCATACAACCCCTCACCCAACCGGCTGCCGATCTGCATGCAGCGCCTGGTCATCCGCTCCACATACGTCCTGCTGTGCACCATCATCGCCATGAGCCTGGTGAGGACCACCGCTGTGCTGCAAATGATGTCTGTCGCAGTGGCAGGCGGCAGCTGAGGGGCGGGAACTGCGCTTGCCTGCGCTTGCCCGTGGGCAGCTGTAGCTGAGATGCTCCCTGCTCACCTGCAGCCGTTTTTCAACGCGATTGTTGGATTGATCGGCGCAATCACGTAAGCAGGTTCTGTCCAGGTGCTGGTGCGTTTGTGCATCCCATCGACCGCAGCTGTGCTGTGGCTGTGCTGCAGGTTCTGGCCGCTGGCCGTCGGGTTCCCGTTCGCCATGTATGCCAAGGTGGGTGCCAGCGGCGGCGCCCCTTACCACAACAGGTCCTGCGCTCCACCGTGCCGCCAGCCTGCTCCCGCAGGTGTACAAGCCGGCAGGTCCAACGCTGCTGCTGATGAAAGTGACCGCGCTTGTCATGCTTCTGGTGGCGGTGGCCGCCACCATTGCATCCTGCCAGAACATCATCGTCTCATGGAGTACATTCACTTTCTTCAGCTGAAGCCCTACTATCCCCGTAGAGCTGGTGCATTTGCGGTGATGCTGCACTGGCTACTCCGTTGCTTTGCATCTACAACACCTCCCCTTCTCATACCTTACTTCTTTTTTCTTGCCAACCTCTCCCCTCTCCCAATGACTGATGCCCGTTGATCACCTGTGCCCCCTGTCACAGTGACAGCATAATGAGTTCTGCCACACAAAAACTCCCTCGAATTTTGCGTTTCCAAATGCCTAATTTTGCAATCGACAGATGCAGCAGCTTCCCAGCTGCTGCAACCTTCCAACCAGCGTCCTCTTTCATATTCGTATGTTTGCAGTTGTGTATCTGCAGGTTGACTCCCCCCCCACCTTTCTCAAATTTTCCCCCCAGCAGTACGATGTTTTTCTGCACAGCTGAGTCACAGCCAACTTGCTTGAGAGTGTTTACACTCCGTATGTTAGCAAGAGCAGCACACCAATCGAATTGAGTGGGGCTGGAATGGCAACATGCAAAGCAGGTCAGCTGACAGGCACTGGGCTGGCAGTGTGTAGGCTGGCAAACGGAATGCAAACTGTGATGTAGAACTGGGAAACAAAGGCTGTACCAGGTACCGGTAGGTCTCGCGCTGCCCAAACATGGCGAGTGCCAGGTTGAGGGCGCCCACCACGTTGTGCACATAGTGCTCCAGCCAGCTGGAGCCGCTGGCCC